CCAGCCCACGGGCAGGTGGCAGGAGCGGCTTCGACACTATGTCGGTCAATAGCGCCACCCTCCTGTCCTGAGCTTCATGTCATGTCCCCAATAGGGGGACGGACTCCTCTCCTCCTGTGGGCTTCCTTGATAGTTGCTCGGATAGTTAACGACCACGACCGTGTCCACGTATTTCACTCTTATCCCCATATATACACTGTTAAAAATTGCTTGAAACGAACTTTCCTCCAGAATAAAGTACACTGCAGACTACAGGTTTACACTGTTTTAAGAATTACCAGTCCATTCTGTTGTTATTTACTGTTTTAATTTTGAACAGTGATATTTTGGTTGGTATAGCATGTGCCTGTAATTCGTACGAGAGGAGAAGAATTAGACGTTGGTGCTCTCTAGACCTTCTTGGAGAGTTCGTTGTAGATGCTCATGGTGGACTTCTCAGTGTCGCTCCACTCGTTGAGACAGCCGCCGATCTCTGCGATCATCGCCTTTTCGCTGTTGTCCATGTCCTGAGAGAGAAAGAGAAACCAAAACGCACCACGACCACGGCGTCAAGACACACTCGTTGAACTTCCGGTCAAGCGGGGAATCCTTTTTAAGGCACTTCTCTACGTTACCTTGGCGTTGAGGGCGGCCGAGTACAGGCAAGAGGTCAGGCGGTCTCGCTGCACGGGTTGCAGGGCGTTGATCTTGGACACGAACGGCTTGACGTGGGCGACGGCCGATGCGATGTAGGGCGTGCCCTTCTGGAACCTGGCCTTGAACGTCGCCAGGTCGAATGACGCCAGGTTCGTGGCCGCCACCTGTGTGCACGGCGAGCAACCACCCCATTTTGGTGCTTAGCGCTCGGAGATATTGCAGCCCCCTCCTCCCGCACCCCCCGGTACTACTCACCAGGGCGACGGTGACGGTCAGAAGCAGGAGTACGACGCGAGCCATCTCGTTGTTGGAGTGTGCAAGTGGTGTCCGCGGCGGGCGCAACACCGGGCACCTTATATAGCGCCTCACTCGTGACTTACGGTCGGTAAAAATCGTATCTAGTATATATTCGAGGATTATTTTTATTTTTTAGCAGTGAAGCGGCCGATGTTGCACCCACGCGGTCACTTTCTTAGCACGATTCAGAAGACGT